TTCTCCATGACCCAATCCGTAACAATGGGAATAACAATGAGAATAACAATACAATTAAGGATGATGATTATGATAGCAATGAAAACAGCAATAGTAGTAGTAGTAGTAGTAACGATAACAACGATAATGATAATGATACTAAGAATATCAATGACAATAATAACTACAACAACAATAATAATAATAATAATAATATAATATTGATTGATAATAATAATGATAGCAATAGCAACAAAACAACAATGAGAATAGTAATGAGAAAAGTAATAATAATAATAATGATAACCAAAAAAATAATAATTACAATAATGATAATGATAGTAATAATAATAATAATAATAATAATAATGATAATAATAATAATGATAATAATAATAATAATAATAATAATAATAATAATAATAATAATAATAATAGCAGTAATATCAAAATGATGAAAATAATACTGATAATTTTAATACTAATAATAACAATAATGATAATAAGAGTGATAGTGTTAATAATAGTGTGGATGACGATAATGATTATGTTAATAATGATAATAATAATAACGATAACAGTATTAATAATGATAAAATAATAGTAATAAAGATAATAGTAATGAAAATGACAATATTAACTGTAATGATAATGACAAAGATAATGATTAAGATATCAATTATAATATTAATAATAATAATAACAATAATAATATTGATCAATGATGACATCTATAATAATGATAAATATGTTAATAATGAGATATCAATAATAATGATAAATATGATAATAATAACATGTCAATAATAATGATAATAATTATGATGATAATATTGATAATAATAATTATCATTATTGCAGCCATACAACAACAGAAAGAACAATAACCATAATAAAAATAACAGTGACCATAATAATAAGAACAACAGTAATGATCGAACCACCACAACCCCGACAGCCTATACCAACAACAACAACAACGAAAATAATAACAGCAGATAAGAGACTTGAAGAGCATGTAGACGAATAACAAGATCGATACGGGTATCTACCCCCTGGACCTTGGTAACATTCTACAGCACTAAATCACCGTTGCGTAAGGTTCCAATACCACGGACTGGATAAGACAACGATAAGCAGGCCGACCTTCAGCCTCGGAGGCGACTATAAAAGCGCGCTCAGCCAAGGCACGGCAGCCAGTGTGAGCTCCGACTAGACCTGTCTTGCGACAGCGTGAGTCGCCACCATGCGCTGCACCGCACTGCTCTTTGTCGCCCTCGCCGGGTCCGCCCTGGCAGGTAACAAAGCCTCACGTGGAGTTACTTAACGAGTGATAACAGTTACTGTGTGACTAACAAGACGCGCTTTCCTGGATATTTGCCTCGCATGACGAGCGTTGTTTTAAGGAATACGAGAAAACCCAAACGACGATTCCTTCGAAAGTGAAACGAACGCGGAAAGGAATCCGTCTGTCTCTGACAACTGTTGTATTGATTGTTGAATGAGAAGGAGGCTAAGCTGAGCTGGGTTCGAGTGTCTATTTTAGGGAGTGATAGACTATAGTTTTAGTTTAATACGGCAGATTACGCCACTCGAAAGTTCCAAGGCATAAATAGAGCCCAAAAGTACCATTGTGTTGCAACAGTTCTAATATGCCCAAAGACATACCGAATAGTTCATATTTATTACAGTGAATGTGAAAAGAGTGAGAAAAATCTATGGAGATATTTTGCCTTCTAAATAAATTATGTTCATGGCTACATAAAACGCCTTGAAGGATGATAATAGTTATCATTAACATGCTTTGAATATTGATTAGTTTTCATTAACACTCATCGAATATCATTTATATGATTCCCTTGCGATTAATCCAGGGTTGTCTCTAGATTCTTTATCAGAAGATAATTTTTGGTTTTCATAATACGCATTGGATGATTTGTATATGCAATGCAAATTCCCTTTTTCGGTCTCGAGGTGTAGTTGCATCATTGTGTTCCCAGATAAAATTGTATTGATATGTCATTTTTTTTTCAAAAGTATATATATAAAAGTATGGTTCAAACCCCATAACGGTGTCCTAATGACGCTTTCTAGAGAATCATAATGCCCAAACTCGATCATTCTTCTTCAGGACCAACGGGCCAAAGATCAACCTGCGCCCTGCACTGCAATGACGCGGAAAGTTATGCATATGAAAGCGGTAAGTCGATCACATTTTCAATTATTCATATATGAAAGATTATTTTCTTATAAAGGTACTCTAAGAATACATCAAAGGATACCATGAAGAGTTTGTCTAATGTTGAATATATCTCCTCAGGCAAAAGTTATGTTTACGAATACTCGGTGACGACCTCCACCGCCCTCCTGGAAACCTTTGAGGACGACGCCCACTTGCACATCACCGCCAACGCCCACATCGATGTTTCTGCCCCCTGCGAGTACATCCTCAAGGTACGTCGGTACTCTGCTTAAAGCAGTTCTGAAATGGGAATGAACAAAATAGTATTCATATACTGTTTTCTGCGGAGAGCCGCTGGAAATTGTTAATCGTATCTGGTTTCCACTGCAGTTGACCGACGTCAATCTTGATGGGATCGTCTCACGGACCAGAGTTCGCTGCTGCTGTTACCAAGTCTCCCTTGCGCTTCTCCTTCCAAGATGGCCAAGTGGAGAGTATCTGCGGCGAAGCATCTGAGCCGGCCTGGGTCCTTAACTTCAAGAGAGGTGTCCTTTCTACCTTCCAGAACTCCATGGCCCATCAGGGTGATGAGGTACATTCCATGATAATTGATTACTTGCAGTATGATTCCACTGATTTGCATCAGGATTGAATGATTGACCGAGTGACCAATCTTTTCCTCATTCTGTTGCCTACCTTCCAGGACATTAAGGAGACAGACATCTCTGGTGTTTGCATGACTCACTACAATGCTACAGTAGAGGGCAGCGTTGTCACCATTGATAAGGTCAAGGACTTAGCCACATGTACTCAGACCTGACCTGACCTTCATCCCCTCAACTGGATACATCAGTGACTCTCCAGTCCAGAGCCTCCCAATCTTTAAAAGCTCAAGCAAGTCACCAAAGGGTAGAGGAAGGCCTTCTGAAGACGGCAGAATGTGAGGAGACCCACGTGTTCCGTCCCTTCTCCAGCGAAAAGGGAGGAGCTGTTACAACTGCCAAGACTACCATGATTCTCATGTCTCAGGAACGACTTACTCCTATCACAGGTATGTGTATCTTTGTGTGCCATTTGTTTTACAGGTCATCATTGCTATCGACTTGCACAAAACATGAAGAACACCGACACTGCTCATTCTTATGTCTATTATGGTTCTCATTGCAGACTTTGACTTCAAGCGCAATACACTGGCTTTCGAGCACACACTCGCACCAGAAGCTCAGCTTGAAGCAGTTGAGGAGATCTTGAGCAATCTGGAGATTGCTTCCAATAATGAAATCCTTCCAGAGGTTCCTTCACTATTTGCCAAGCTCGTGTCATCACTCAAGGAACTGGATTACCCTCAGCTCAACACTGTTTACAACAATGCTAAAGAAACTCACACACGGAAGTTCCTGGTTGACGCTATGCCACTGGTGGGAACAGCTGCTTCTTTTGGTGTGGTCAGAGACATGTTCCTCAATGGGGACATGACAGAATCTGAGGCTGATGTGTTCTTCACTTCATTGGCTTTCTTCAAGAACCCAACAGCAGAAATGTTTACTGCTCTTGCTGTTAGTATAGACATAATCTATAAACACAGTTCTGTATATATTCTATTATTATTGTTTTATATATACTCATATTGACATTTATTCACATTTTAAGAAGGCATTTGTTGAAAATATTTTCTGCCACTTTACCTACACATTATCTAATATTTTACAGCCTTTACTCGAGAACAACCCAAGCCAAAAAGCAATGTTGGGAACTTCTGCTCTCATCAACACCTTCTGCAAAATCAATGAAGACTGTGGTGCCGATTCCAGTGTCCAGCAAGTAATTCGTCGAATTGAAACACAACTTGGATCTGGCTGTCGCACTGTGAATGAAGAAGAGAAAGTCAGGGTACTCGTTGCTCTCAAGGCACTTGGCAATGCTGGCCGATGGGTTAATGCCAACTCAGTCCTAAGGCGATGCTATACTGAAGATAATGAGATGGAAGTGCGAGTGGCTGCTATTGACACATGGAGGCACACTCCATGTGAATATGACCGATCTCACCTTCTGGCTGCTTTCCAAGATGAAACTCAGGACACAGAGGTTCGCATTGCTGCCTACCTTGCTCTCATGACCTGTCCTACTCCAGACCTTATCAATACCATCAAGGACCGTCTCACTTCAGAAGGTGTCAACCAGGTGGGCTCCTTCATCTGGACTCATATGACCAACATGCAGGAATCAGCTGCTCCAAAAACAGGGCTCGTCAAATGATTGGCGAGGAACTTCTCCAGAAAAAGTTCAGTACCGAAGCCCTCAAGTTTTCTCGCAACTATGAATCCTCTTTCTTCATGAATGAAATCAACACTGGGGCTTCAGTTGAAAGCAATGTCATCTTCTCCAGCAAGTCCTACCTGCCACGTTCTGCAATGCTGAACCTCACCCTCGACCTCTTTGGACAGTCTATCAACTTCTTTGAGGTTGGTGGAAGAATCGAAGGTTTTGAGGCTTACATTGAACGCTTCTTTGGTCCTAGAGGATATTACCCAGAGGAAACCATTGAAACCATCCTAAGGAATATGCGACAGAACAGTGACGCTGATGCCACCACGCTTGAAGGCTTCCTTGACCACATAACTGATGAACCGAAGGGATCCTACTACCTCCGAGTTTTTGGCAATGAGCTTCATTACCACCACTTCTTAGGACTTGAAAACCTCATCCAAACATCCGGTGCTTCTAACCCACTGGAATTCTTGATGAATCTGGCTCGTCAGGGAGATGTTGATTACACAAAATCTTACCAGCTAATGGACACTCACCACACCATTCCTACTGTGACTGGTTTACCTGTGACCCTCACTGCAAAGGGAACAGCTACCCTTGGACTCAATGAATGGAAACTTCAAGGCTCGTAGTCTCAAGAATATAAACATTGAAGGACACCTCCATCCTTCGGCCGCAGTTCAAATTGATGGCGTTATGCTCGTCGATGCCCACGTGTCTCGCACTGGACTGAAGATGTCTTCCAACCTTCACACCTCCACATTCCTTGATGGCAAGCTTCAGATCAATGGTGGTAAACTAGTCGATGTTGCCTTCAACACACCCAAGGACAAGATGGAAGTTATCAATCAAGACCGAGTTCTTCTACCTGGAAGATGATCAAGAGATCCGAAAGGAAGTTGCAAACCTCATCCAAGAAGAGAGCTGCACTAGTGGAGTCAGTGGCGTTGCCTTGTGTGGTGAATACAGCTACGCTCCTTGCTCGGAATATGGCCCAAGCTTCCCCTTCACAGGACCTTTTGCAACAAGTGTTCATTTCAAGAAGACAAACACTCAGACTGGATATGTCCTGCGCTTCACTCACGAAGGTGATCAGTTTGTTTTCTTGTTTGACACACCAGGATCACAAACAGATCGTAAAGTCCTTCTTACTATTACCAAGGCTGCTAAAGCAATCAGCTTTGATCTTCACACGCCATTTAAATCAGTCCAAGGTAGTGGCGAATATCTCTGGCAGAAGAATAACAAGAACACTAAGCTGGCACTCGTTGTTGATGAAAATCAACAATACATGCTAGAGGCTGGTCTACGTACAAGCGGAAAAACAGTCAAGACACTTGTCCCATCTTTCATTCTCACTTCCCCTGGTCAAGTATTGAATGTACAAGGAAACTTCCAGGCCAACACGGATGCTGCTAAATATGTTGCTGATGTTACCATCTCGGAGATGACTGCATCCCCCATCATTGTACACGGTAAGTTCTAGGTTTATATCAAAGAAAATAAGGCCTAATGATGCATGAATAATGTTTGATAAAACAAATTAATCGATCTATTGTATATCATTTTATGGATGATGTTGAAACCTGTCTACTTTCTTTTTACAGCATCGTTTGAGGGCGAAAGTAACTCTGTTGCCATGAACGTTGATCTGAAAACACCAATCATTGACACATTGGTCAAGAGTGAGTTTGGTTATGGTGAGAACTTCCTTTCATCCAAGGTGGAAGCAGAGTACAGTATTATGAAAGAGGCCAAACAGACGGTCCACCATTCTGCCCTTCTCAAGAAGGAAACCACAGAGGACCTCTCCAAGTACACCATTGTCTTTGACGTCTCCCCATCACAGTACCCTGAAATGACATTAGATTATAACCAGAACATCGTCCTTTCAAAGGGACGCATGGAAAACAACGTTAAGCTTGTCCATGGCCCTGCCACATGGAACGTCAATGAAGTGGTATCCTACGCCAATAACAATGGTCACCGCGATATGAACATCCACTGGACAGTCGCTTGCACACACTATGAGATCGATACCTCTGGTTCCTTTGCACTGGAGTTCTCTCCAAATCACCTGAAGGGTGACTATCACTTCCAACTGTCTCCTGGGAGAGAACAGGTCATCCTAGTGGAATTCAGTCATCAGTATGACGTCGAAACACTCGGACGTATCAACGTGCAGGCTGAGGACCTGAAGTCTTCCCTTGAATTTGTTTTCAATAAGATCGCAGCTGGCCACTACAAAGCTCAGGTGAGTACTTGTCATTCATTTTTTTCACTGAAAGAGATCCTGAAATGAAAACAAACTTGGGTACTTCATTACATTATAATATTATATATATATATATATATATATATATATATATATATATATATATATATATATATATATATATATATATATATATATATATATATATATATATATATATATATATATATATATATATATATATATATAATATATATAATATAATATATATATATAATATAATATATATATATATATATATATATATATATATATATATATATATATATATATATATATATATATATATATATATATATATTATATATAATATATAATATATATATATATATATATATATATATATATATATATATATATATATATAATATATATATATATATATATATATATATATATATATATATATATATATATATAATATTATATTATATATATATATATATATATATATATATATATATATATATATATATATATATATATATATATATATATATATATATATAATATATATATACACACACGCAACACACACACACACATGTATATACATATATATACATATATTGACATATATACATACACACAACGCGCACGCACACGCACACGCGCACACGCACACACACACACACACACACACACACACACACACACACACACACACACACACACACACACACACACACACACACACACACACCACATATATATATATATATATATATATATATATATATATATATATATATATATATAATATTATTTATATTATATATATTATAATTTATATTCA